TTTAGCTACCTGAAGGATTGTCCCCACCCACCTACCTACCCACAGCAGCAGTAACTAGGAGAGATTAGAGGACTCACATCAGATGTGGTCCTTGGATAGGACCTTTCCATTGTCATTAAAATCCTGAGAGATTATGAAACTTGAATCCCCACTCTCCCACCCATCCCCAACCAGAGGACGCTGAGAGCCTCCTCTGTTATTTATTGGCTCTTGGAGTCCCGAGGCTGAGTTTAGAAGCCTATCCACCCAGGGTGGAGGCACTCAGAGGGCAGGGGACTCAAGAAGAGGTAGAAGGTGCCTGAGAGATGGTAGAACCAGATACCACTAGGATAGGACTCAGCAGGGGTCCCTGGCTGGCTCAGTTGGTAGAGTGTGCGACTCTTGGTCCTGAGTTCAAGCCCTGAATTGGGTGTAGATCTTACTTAAGAAGAAAATAAGGACAAGGCAGTCATTGGCTATCTTTAAGCTTCCTAAAGGATCCTCTGCTCTTTATGTGCATCCAAAATAAAGAGTGGAAGGAAGGAGGATTGGAAGGGTTAGGAGAGGTGCTGATATTCAGATTATACCCCCGGTTTTGCTTTGTGGAAAGAATATCTGCCTACAATATTGGGTCTTCAGTGCTCTGCTAGTTCTCCATACAAGTATCCTTCCAAACCCAGGGTCTTTGTAATCATGAAAATTATCTCCTATTGTGCAAACTCATGTCTGGGTTATGGAACTTCATGCTCCACTGGAGCAGAACATACTAAATTTCATTATTAGATAATGTACACACTTGCTCTGTTAAAGCATAAGTTTAATAAATTTGATCTCATCTCTACCTTCTAAAGATGAAGGAAGGAAAGAAGGAAGGGAGGGAGGGAGGAAGGGGAGAGGAAGGAAGATACTCTCGTTGGTTTGTATGTGTGAATAGATCCAAGGAAATAATTTTGGTTAAAAAATCCAAATAATTACAGTCTACTCCATTTCACTTAGCATTGCGTAGGCAACTTTGTGGGAGAAATCTATTTAGGTAACAGGAAAACACACAAAATCCATTTGGAGGAACAAAGGAAATCCCAAGTAGGAAAAAGAAGGGAGAGGAGAGGAGGGGGTGGGGTGGGAAAAGGAGAAACACATGATTAATAAAGTTAGGGTAGACACTTGTTTGCTGGTAATTGTCCACCAACTTCAAACACACAGTGGGTGGCAGATTCTTTCAGTGGAGATGTTTGGGATTGGATGAAAACCAGCCTAGAAGCTCAGGACGGGACCTGAGCTTCCCACACCAGCATCTGAACTATAAGAAACAATTCATAAACTCTGTTTTCTAGCCCAGGATCCTAACCAAAACAGTAATGATAGATATAAAGATTAAGGATTCCTAAAGCAACTTCGGTAGAACAATCCCCCCTGGAGTGTGGAGCATGGAATCAGAAGGCAGAACAGAAGTGCTGGGTGCTAAGGGAGACCCTTCTTCAGCTTCTAGGGTGCGGGGCTGGCAGGGTTTCTCTAGGGCTTTTAAGAGCTATCTCGAGTGGGCAGGAGCCGGCCTGGCCTTGGGCTCAGGCTGAGATGCTCACTACAGGTTTCCCCGAGGGAGGGAGCCCCAGGCAATTGTCACCGTGTCTCCAACTCTCCGTGGCCAGTTAATTCAATTACGAGTCCGCTGGAGAATGTGTGGCCAATCGCTCTCCCTGAAAGGGGCAAAGCAGAGAAAGAGGAATTAGCTTTGCTGAAAAGCCCAGGCTTTGGGTCAAGCAGGATGGCACTTATTAATTGCTCAAGACTATTAATTGGATGGGAAGGGAATATGGGGGGGGCGGGGGACTAACTGACAGAAACAAATATCGCGTGTGTGCGCATCTCTCTCTCTCTCTCTCTCTCTCTCTCTCTCTCTCTCTCACACACACACACACACACACACACACACACCAAGCACAGCCACACACCTGCCTCGATGAGTTTCTTTAGAAAAGGGGCGCGCGGAGCAACCCCAGAGCAGATGGAAGGGAGCGATGACCAGTATGTGCATATGGTGCGGATGATTTCCCCAACTTTTCTTTCAGGGACAGACAGCTTTCTTTCTTTCTTTCTTTCTTTCTTTCTTTCTTTCTTTCTTTCTTTCTTTCTTTCTTTCTTCCTTCCTTCCTTCCTTCCTTCCTTCCTTCCTTCCTTCCTTCCTTTCTTTCTTCTTTCTTTCTTTTGTTGTTGGGATGAGGTGAGAGAGAGCAGTTGGCCAAATGGAGTTTCCCTACAGTTCAGACGCTGGTGTGGGAAGCGGGGGCCACTGGGTGGGAGGAGAGATTTCCAAGGCAGATGTGGGCCCTGGCAAAGTAGACCCGTAAGTGAAAAGACCTTAACCGCGCCCCCCCCCTTCATTTCCTTTAAATACGAATACAAGGGTTTGTGGTTTTTTGGGTTTTTTTTTCTCTCATTCTGTGTGATCCTTAGTTTCCTCTAATTCCACAGGGGTTCAAGAGACAGTAAATGAACCCTGGAAGCCTTTTGTCTTAGTATCTGGAAGTGACTCGGGAAAACGGAATGGGGTTAGGGATTGGAAAGGAGATTTAAGATTGCCAGCTCTTCTATGATGTCCTGAAGTATTTAGAGGGACGAGACAACTAGAGGTCATTCTATGGATGTACTCAGCTCGAGGCCAGCTCATTACCAAGAGTATCAGAAGTGCGGGGGCTGCGTGTGGATCTTCTCCCAGACAGAGACAGACACATGGGCCAAACGTGCAGGCACAGCAGGTCAGAGCAGGCGGTCTCCAGTCCTGAGCCTCCTGGTTGTTCCCAGGGGAGAGAGCTTTATGTCTGCTGCCTGAACCTAAGCCGGGGAAAGAAGGTCCCTTTGCCTAGAATGAAGATGTATCTGACAGTAGGGGAGTTGGGGGAGGAGCTTGTGGCTTTTCTGAGAAGGGACCATCCTTTTCCATTTGAGGTCTGACCCACAGGGAAACTGACATCATCCACCAAGAAAACCGGGGCTGGCAATTCCCAACATAACCTTCAGGCTCTATACGTTGGGGTGGTATGGGGAGGGGCAGCTGTTGTACCTTCAAAGAGGTGGGGGTTCCTAGGGTTAGGTCGCGGGGGCAGGCCCCAGCTCCTCAAAGACGGTTTTTTTATGTGTCGGTGGGTGGAATATAGAGGCCTCACTCAGTTCTGGCAAACAAAAGATTCTGCTGTCAGCATTTTGGGATTCAGCCCCTCAGTGCCAAGGGCACTCATCTTACACCCTCTTAGTTAAAGATCAAGTTGGCCATTCTTTCTTTTCATCTTCATTGGGCTCACATTCTCCTGACTTCATTAGACCAAAATATAGAATTTCAAGAAGTTGGGGGAGTGAGGAGACGCTTGCACACCTTGAAATAGGGAGCAAGTGTTGGCTGCTGCCCCTTGCGCGGGGCTGAAGCATCATGGATCTCCATTTCAGACAGTGCATTTCAATTCTTGTCGTGTGCCTTTGTCCATTTATATAAAGCAAAGAGCGCTGAGTGACAGCCCCAGTTAGCCTGCATGAGCAGATCCTAATAAACCCTCCCAAACCCCGACCTAAAAAAAAAAAAAAGCCACATGCCTGTTTGCCTGCGGCTTATTATTAAGACACCTTCTCAGCTTAAACACTTAAAAGCTAACCAAATGAAATGGCAATTAAGACTAAATTACCCCTTCTATCTCTGAGATGAGTCTATGGGGCCAGCCAGTTCTTACGAGATAGAGAGGGTTGGAGAGGGGACCTTGTAAAGCATCAGTATTGCGGGCATGTAGCCACCGCTACCCCCTCCAAGTGGTAGAAGGCTTGGTGCAGGAAGCTGAATTTTGAACGAAGTAAGCTGAAATACTGTTTGAAAGTCAAGAAATCCGCCATAGAGACAGAGATAGGTGTGCACTGCCTCCCCTCCTGCCCTCTCTTTGTAAAATATAACTTTCCAACATTTCAGGGTTATTTTTGGGGTAATAATGTTCAAATACCTGGTGTCACTGCTAAATGGTCTACAACCCCCCAACCCCCAACCAGCCCTGTTTCTGAAAGGGAAGAAGGAAAACACAAAAGAGGGGGAAAATGGGTTGGGTTGGGGAGTGGAAGACAACGTTTTACCTAAATGTAGAATCTTGTCACACGTCTTTATTCTCTTGTATTTTTCTTAAATGTATTGCCAGTTACACCATTTCTTTATGATGAAAACTTGGGGCTGTCCACCAAGCCTATTTATTTTAAAAGCTGCTGAAAGTGTAAGCTACCGCAGGGTGTTGCCTTTCAAAAAAGGGAAAAGAACCCAAATTCGATGTAAATATGGAAAGAGCAGTATTGTTTCCACTTGGGCAAAGGCAGACACCCCAATCTGGGTGAAACTGATTTGGGTGCTTGTTGGAAAAAGCAGCTTTCAGCATCTAGAAAGTGGAAACCAATAGGAATGAACACTTACTCATGTAAAAGGAAGCTTTAATTAATATATATTTCTATCTCTAATATACACATATCGAGGCTAGATCTTTATCTTCCCAGTAAAATGTATGCAAATGCTCTCTGTAGAGATGAGTCCCCACCTCGGTCGGTATAGAAAAGCATGATAAAGGTTGGAAAAAATGGATAAAAATGTTGAAAGAACCTCCAGTTCCTTATTAGGCGAAGATACAATATTTATTCCTTGTCTCCTGGGATAAATCTCTTCTGCCTATTGTCCTCCCAGTTCTCAGTGCTGATGCTTAATTTTCAAAACTTCTATATTACCAAGGGACCTACGACATCAGCCAAAGAAATACTCAGCAAGTACAAAATCTGTTCCAGGGAGCTGCTTTTGTGCAGAGGGAAAATTTTGTTCCTACAGGTTTTTAAGTGGGTACGAGGCAAGGAGCTATCTGATCCGGGCAAAGCCATTACAATTTAGATCTCTATCTATAGAACATTTTTTTTCCTTAAAAAAAATTGGAAAATACAAGAAGTTTGGATTTTTTTCCCGATTCTTTTTTTGGAGGGGGAAATTGCATCGTAAGCTTTCGGAGAAACCCAACATGTCAACTACCTTTCCGGGACTAGTCCACGATGCCGAGGTATTATTACTTTTTTTTTTTTTTTTTTTTTTTTGAGCGCGCGTGTGTGTGTGGCTGCGGCGGCGGCGGTGGCTGCGGCGGCGGCAGCTTTCTCTGTCTCTAATCTATATTGGACCGTTACATTTAATTATAATCTGGCTTTCGGGGGAAGTTAAGGAAGGAAAGGGGAGAAAGTTCGTTATGACATCTGTCGCCAGGAAGGGCAACTCTCTGCCACGTTAAGAAACATTTGCCATAATGAGGGGGAAAACATAATCCTAATAATAAAGAAGGGGGGGTGAGGAGAAAGAGATAGAGATGGAAAAAAGCTACTCAGAAAGGCAAAGTAAAGAGACTGATGGGGGGGGCGGTAGGTGGACGGGGGGGTGGGGTGGGGAACAACGCACCCCTTTCGAAATGGGCTTATTCTAGGAAAGTGAAGCAGAAAGAGGGGGGTCGGATTCCTTGCCCCAAACGGTTAAGGAAATGAGCAAGTTGAACGATTTGTACAGACTGGATTTTGTAAATATATGGATAGTGATTTTGAGCAGCTCTGGCGGAACATCGCAGCACGGACAGCCGGCTTGGGATCCGGTTGCAGCGACCAGGCGCCGGCCCGCGCTCTGCGCGTGTGGACACTCGGCTTCTCGTCCCCGCGGCCCCGGAGTCAGTCGCAAACCTGGCTCCCGACGCCCACCTCCCTGTGCAAGTTAGGCAGGGGCTGTGTGTGTGTGTGTGTGTGTGTGTGCGCGTGTGTACGTGTGTGTGTGTCACCCGCACCTATATAGGGTGGGGGATTTTTTTCCGCCCTCTCGACTGTGAGGACGAGGCCGCCCACCCCCAGTTCGCCTGCTCGCAAAGGCTCTTTGGCGAAGGCGCTGAGCCCGGGTGCGGCTCGGCCCCAGTCCTGCGCGCTCGCTCTCCTTGGAGAGCCGGAGAAAGCTCCCGGCTCCCGGAGAGCGGCGCCTCGGTTGCAAAATGACAAACCTCAAGTTTTTCTGCTCTCCCTTTTCCCCCTCTTCCTTCCAGATACGTCACGACGGATCAAACAGCTACCGTTTGATGCAGCTTGGCTGTCTGGAGTCCGTAGCCAATTCCACTGTCGCCTATTCCTCCTCCTCTCCTCTAACTTACTCCACCACCGGCACAGAGTTTGCGTCTCCCTACTTCTCCACTAACCACCAGTATACCCCGCTCCACCACCAGTCTTTCCATTACGAGTTTCAGCACAGCCACCCGGCCGTCACCCCCGACGCCTACTCTCTGAACTCGCTCCACCACTCGCAACAGTACTACCAGCAGATCCACCACGGGGAGCCCACCGACTTTATTAACCTGCACAATGCGCGGGCGCTCAAGTCGTCCTGCCTGGACGAGCAGAGGCGGGAGCTGGGCTGCCTCGATGCCTACCGCCGCCACGACCTGTCCCTCATGAGCCATGGCTCCCAGTATGGAATGCATCCAGATCAAAGACTCCTGCCAGGGCCCAGCCTGGGGCTGGCCGCCGCGGGAGCAGACGACTTGCAGGTAAATAAGCATGAAGCGAATTTGTCTGCGCCCTCCCCTATTCGCCCTGCCCCTCCCGCTCCGTTAAAGCTCTGACTGTAAGCTGTCTCGCTCGCCTGGCCTCTCCTCTCCCCTCCTCTCCCCTCCTCTCCTCTCCTCTCCTCGCCTCGCCTCTCCTTGCCTCTCCTTTCTCGGTCTCTCTGTCTCTCTCTCTCTGACACACACACACACGCACACACACACACACACACACACACACACCACTTATGGAAAGTTATCAAAACAATTAGAGGAGGCGTGTGCCATTCTGTCACTCTCATTGGATCAAGGCATTTCACCTGGACGCCCGGGAGTCTGGCTAGCTGCGGCCCCCGCTTTCTGTTGGTCTGCACGGAAGACCAAGTGAATCCTCCTCATTTCTGTCCCCGAGGGGATGGGATGGAGGCGATCTCGGAGGCTAGGTTGAGCCAACGGGACTCAGAGTAAGACCCGACAAGTTGATGACCAATAACACCCTCAGTCTGTGCTTTGCTGGGTCTACCCGCGTGTGCCAGGTGTTTGTCCCAGACTAAGCTTATGGGGAACTTACTAAGAACTGGGGGGGGGGGGGGGCTGGTTTGTTCTAGAGACTTTGTTGAGCCCTAGCAGAAGTTTCCCCGAATATACTAGATCGCTGTGGAAAGTAAAGAATCGCAAATGAAAGTCTCAAAAATTTACCCTAATGAAAATCTGCTTAATGCAGTTCCCGAGGCTGTAGAGTTGAGCATAATTCTCTGTACCGAGCTCCCCAATCCCACCACCCAGTTGGGTAATTCACAACTTTATTTTTCCCACTAGGTTATTAACTTTTACATAAGATGCAACTCCTTAAAAAGAAGGAAATGAAGAAATAAAGGGAAAAGGAGGGAGACGAAATAGGAAGGAAGAAAGAAACAGAAAGGGGGAAAGAGGGAAAAAGAGAGAAGAAGGAAGGAAGGACAGTAGAGAGGAAAAAAGAGAGAAACTCATATCCTATGGAGGCCATCAATCAGATGATCTCCCTCCTACTTCCTTCCTTAATGTATTTTTGCACATTCTTTGCCAACAATAGACTTTATAATTTTGCAAACATATTCCGCCCCCCCCCCACAGCCACATTGGGGGGGAAATAGAGCAAATAAACCCACAAATATCTGAAAAAGAAAAAGACGTGTGTTTGTAGCTTCTTTTGGCTGAAAGGGGGGCGGTAGATGAGTCCTTACTTTCTCAGTCCACACAAAGCTTCTCCACAGCGTCTACAACGAAAGGGGAGATACTGGAAGAGCACAAGTTGGAGACGTAAGAGATCCCTTGTTGCGCACAGAAAATCTTTCCCCCTCATTTACCTCCGACCAAGGGATTGTTTTAAAATTAAAGTGAAAGCCCTTACAGTCCCAGCAAAGAGCCATAGGTGCAAGATCGGCACACAAGAAAAAAGATCTGGCTCCATAAACCTTGACTTTCTACACTTATATTCACAAAATAATTTTATACGCTCAGAACATTTTTACATTTTTCACAAGAATCCCCTTATGTCTCAAGGGGGGAAAAATCTGCCATTCAATGCTTAGCTCAACTAAAACCTATTTACTCCTTTTAATAGCCACGTCTGCTGCTGATTTTTTTGTATCTGTACAAATTTTTTTTCTGTGCTAGGCACAAAGCCGGGCATTTTTCAAAAGAAGGGATTAGAACATTTGCAAGCACCAGACAAAGAGCGAATCCCGTGCAAAAGAACACCGTAGTTTATCCAATTTTCGACTTAGTGCCATTCAACTGGTCATTTATGCAATGTCATCCGACCAAACAACATGTTTTACTTATGAGGGGGGAAAGTTTGTTAAGTGTAGAGACCAAGATTCGTTTCTTCTAAGGAAATAAACAGCTTAACAGTGTGCCAGAGAATGGGAGAGAAAGCGATTCACTCCCTTGGAGAGATTCAAGGCCTCTACCTTGCACATTTCAAAAAAAATTGAGGCCTTTTAAGAAGCCTATGTCTTTTTTATATTCTTGGTTTCCTCTTTTCAGTTTATTGCTCATACTGAGGGAAATACTCCAAGATACTAAAGGAAATTGAGGAATATGATATGTGACATATTTATGTATCTATGTCTATGGACATATCTCTATGTGTATATATTATTGTATGTGTGTAGATATATGCCATATATATTATATCCAGATATAATTGAAGCAAGTTGTAAATCTGGAAAGTTATTTTCTTCCACTCTTCCTGGTCTTGGTTGGCAGAATGAAAAAGAAAGAGAAAAAAAGTAATAGCTACTTTTAAAAAGAGAAATAGGGAGGGGATGTGTGGGAGAAACCCGTCTCTCTCCTTTTATTTCTTCCTTTTTAAAACATTCATCAGCATATGCCTCATTTCAAATGCAACAAATGTAAATATACTTTTCCCTGCACAGAATTTTAAGTGAAAGTCCAATGGTTTGGAGGGCGGTCTAAGTCTGCCTAACAGATGCAAACAGTCTTGTGGCTTCAGTTCCATCTTTGAGTCCCCTAAAAAGATTTGCTATGGCCAACAAAGGAAACTGTCACACCTTTTCCCATCACTGCTTTAATTTATGCTCAGTCTCCAAGTTTTTTTTTTTCATATTGATTTGATAATCACTTTAAGGCAGAACATTTAAAATAAGAAAGAGCTCGTGAGTAGGTTGAAAAGGGGGGTCTTACAGGCCTGCCTCAATATGGTGAAAATGGGGAAGCAAAAGGGAGCCAGGGCTGTAAAGGTTGTTTTGTAAAGTGGGTTTTTATTATGCACCGACTCTCTCCGCATTTACTTAACTCTTCACGGGCTGTTGGGTAGGTTAACACCCTTCAAGGCCTCTTTCATGTCCAATACCTCGTTTGTTTGTAAAGGAAAATGAGCCTTTAACACATTTCAACTCAGGGGAAAAACGACAGAGAGAGAAATTTTTATTTTTCTTAAAAAATCAGCAAACCCTTTCCTTCTTCCCAGCTCAAATGATCCCTCAATCCATTAGGAGCCTGAAGACCTACAGTGGGTGAACCTGAAGGTGTTGCCTCTCTAAGGCATATTTTGGGTAGGATACTCCTACTTCTGTGGTAAAGCAGAACCAACATCAGATATCTTGAAGCCTGCACTTGAAATGGCTCCTCTGAGCTCCCAAGAAACCCACAGTGCCAGACTTGACACTTTCAGTGTAATTTGCTCCACGCAGGAAGTGCCGTGGAAACTGTCTGTATATATGCTATGTGCCTTGATGGGGACTCAAAGGGCTTCTCATTCCCTTATGCCAAGATGAAAGGCACCCAGGTGCTTTGAAGTGTAATATTGTATGGTGCTGCAAAATGCATACCTTAAGATTTATACAACTTTTAGACTGTGGTTTTTCTGGCACTTTTTTTTTTTCCTCTTGAAATCACGTGTGCTGCCAAACTTGCTCCAGCTCAATAGTTGCTTTTAAATGTCTACTATGGGGTTATGGGGATATGGGGGTTCAGCAATGGGGCAGATTGAAAGACTTAACTCATGTATTCGTACCTATTCGTATCTATTTGAGTGCTTTTATTTCTTTTTCTTTTATTAAGGGCTCCGTGGAAGCCCAGTGTGGGCTTGTTCTCAATGGTCAAGGTGGAGTGATAAGAAGAGGTAAGTGACATGTTAAGATGAAACATTCTTCTCTCATCTGATACTTTGTTTTGAAGATCTGGTGGTGCTTGTAAATGTCAGACACTCGTCTGATGATTAAGAAAACAATTACTCTTGGTCGATTACTTTTGTCCCAAAAAGGCATAGTCCCTTCCTCCATTGAGGCTTGAATCTAGCCTCCTCCCCAAAGACCTACAATAGAAGACATTTGCTGTTTCTCATGGAACAGTGACAGAATCAAAGTTAGAAGGGGGAAGAAAAGAAAAAAAGAAAAGAAAGGGAAAAAAATCCTTGTCACACCTCCTTTCCCTATCACCACATCCTCAAGCAGGATTTCCAGTCTCTTTTAGCCCTAAATGTGCCAGCCACCACCTGGGTGATTGAGGTGATGGTGTTAGCTTGAGGCTTTGAAGGATACTGTGAAAGGCTAGATTCGTTGAGGCTTCGGGGAAGGCTAATGAAACACCAATATTGTAGCTGCCCTTATTTTTCTAAGTGTCCAGAACATTTCTTTCTTTAAGGGAGGTGGGAGGAGGTGGTGGTGTTAACTGTACCGGATAAAGCTTTCTTGTTCCCATCTGTTGAGGAAAACATCTGAATCCAGAGTTACCCATGGAATTGGAAGGTGGGGGGAAGGCCAGAATCGAGAGCTGTTGATTTTGGCTCAGACACTGAAAGGGGCTGCATCTCAGATGTTCCGTTTTGACAAAAGGTTTTGAACTATGACATTTTAAGGGCCTCAAGGCAGTGCAGATTTTGCTGGCTTTCCCACTTAACTGTACCCAGAGCCTCTGAAGCTCATTTTCCTAGCAAGCTGAGTAACCCGAGGAGCACACAAGGCAAGGGGACCAGCTGCTATCCCAACTTCATACGAATTAATAAGATGTGGCCTATTCACCAGGACTAATTCCAGCTCCAGGGCCGCAGTTGTCTTTAGTAACTGAACTGCTAAAGACTGAGTCACTTCTGATGGCACCAAATAAATGTCCTTCAGTCCCTGTCCATCTCTTTCAAAGCTTGTCGAAAGATTCCAATGCTTTTCCAAAAAAAAAAGCTATGGATTCTTTCCTGTTTAAACTGCAGGCTTTAGAACCCAATGGCCAAAGTGAAATTCCATTTAAACCGAGGAAGGAAAAAAAAAAATTGCTCTTCTTTTGGAACTTGACGATTGTCATAGTGGGTACTTGGAACTTCCACTAAATGTAAAGTAGCTATTCAACTCTGTTGTTTCACCCCCATGGAGGTTTTTCAAAAAACTACTAGCATTACTCAACAAGGATTTTTTTAAATGAGCAATATTAGCCTTATCAGCCAGGCTAATGTTCAGCCATATTGAAGTGACATGAAATAGGCCCAGACTAGTGAAAATTGAAATAAAATACACATACAATTGAAGGGAGAGATTAAAAATGCACGGTGAAAGAGGAGTCAGGTGAGATTTGTTGGTCTGGCTCTGTTGGGGCGGTCACACTCAAGGTGAGGCTGAGCACTCAGGGCGCATGGAGATGGCGGTGGTGCTGAAGGACAGCGCCACTAATTAGCGCCCAGAGCCGGCTCCTCCCAGAGCCCGGCTGGCGCTACTGCGGTCGACGCGTTCAGTTCCGCACTTGCTCCAAGATCACCTTCTCAAATGCTTGGAAATTATATCTGATCTTACAATAGCTGACAGAGAGTGGGAATTATTTGAGATCGAGGGCGGGAGCTGGAAGGGGGGTGGTTGTGTAATCAGTTGAATTTTTGGAGAGAGATTTAAGGGACACCCCCTCAGCATGCCCAAAGAAAGGTCAACGCTCTTAGGTAATTACAAAATGAGAACTGTGGTCCTGTCTTATTAGAGGCACATAAATGGTCTTCCTTAGGTGATGTTTTATTGTTCTTGTAGAGTTCGGTGTCATTTCGTTTCACTTGAAAATCAGCGAGGAGCCTGCTATTTTAAATCAAATATTGATCTTTTAGGAGAATAGCATGGCTCCAAAGGGAAAGGGGAGGTAACTTGGGGTTTCCGTCTGTATTGTTTTACTAAACCCTAGTCCTCCACCCACACCCCCCTCCCCCGTGAAGGAATTCAGAATTTAGCTGCAGAGTTTATTCCATTTCCACGTGTTTTAGAGGAAGGCCAGTTAACTTGGTTGAGCCCAGGAGACCAAGCGTGTGTCTGTGTGCATGTGTTATTCTGAAACAATCAATGTTCGTGGCAATTTACAAATGGATAGCAAGGAAGTCTTGCCTAAAAGGTTGTGTACATGTGCCGGAGCCCACACAGCCCTAAATCTCAGGACTCCCTGTTTTTGAAGAAAAGTTAAGGAAGCCCCTTCTCTCTGTTTTCGTGGTAGTCCATTGGATTCTTAACGTAAATAGCTCAAGTCACCTTTGTTCATCAAACATTAAGAGAACACTAAGTCAAGCACTCTGCCATATTCTGTAAATGTTTTGTTTAGATAGGAATGTCTGTTTCTCTGCTAATCCATACTTTACAGGTGAATCTCCACAGGAAACATGATTTCTTGAAAAGCACAACTTTTTTGCCATTTTCCTCCCCTGCTAAGTTCTCTGATAAACTTAACATTTCTAACGATTTCCAGAATTTACTGTGGGAGGAACAAAACAGATTTCACTTCCAAAGACTCCTGAGTGCTCTTCTAGAACAAAGATCCCTAAGTGCCCCCACAGGAGTTCACCAGGGAAAGACTGTCCTGGTTTGCAGTGGGGAGGGGTGGTGGGTAGCCGGGTGGGTGAGGGGTGTGTGTGTGCACGCGCGCGTTGAGGGATGGAGGAGCACTCAGTTCTTTAAATTTGGCCACTTCTATTAGCAAAGAACAAAATACCATTTCTCTGACTCACTTGGGTAAGTGGCAGTTACAATGTTTTTGCCTATAATGAAGGCCGGATAGCCAAAGAAAGCCCGGAAGAGGGACAGCAACGAGGTAATTACCACCTAGATAAAATATTTGCCACCGCCTCGGAGGTGCGGCTCCCGCACGCTCACTCTCGCTTAATGGTGTGCGCGATTTTGCCCGCAGCTCCGCCACTCCAACCATCAGAACCAATAATCTTTACTTTACCCTGTGCTTGAGTATCGATAGCTTCTTTCGCCTCCGGCTTGGGCTTTGATATGTTAATATTTCTGAGTAGCAAATTCTGCAGAGATCATATTAATGTTGTACGTACAGAGTGGGGCTTTGCCTTCGTTGAATATTCAGATACTGGGTTTCAAAAGGCATCTTGAAGAAATGAGGCTTCTATTTACAGGAGTCGTCTGTGTTTTTAATCATTAAAAAAAAGAAAGGAAAACCCACTCTTCTTTTCCCCATGAATCTTCTGAGGCTCCCTCATGGCCACCTCCCCTTTGTCAGGCACCGGTCCCTTTCATTTCTACCTCTGAGAATTTAATAGTAGGAGAACAGTGTTGATGATGATGATGATGACGACGACAATGCTGCTGCTAATAACAAGTGGATCTAGATTGGAATCGAAGGGTTAGGGGTTCAATTGGGTAGGGGGCTGTGGCCTTTAGAAGAGGATGGAGGGAAGATGAGAAGATGCAGCTTTTCCGTATTCGGGTGGAAAGTGACATTTTGGCCCTGGTCTTTTTTGAGAAATCGGGATAGCAAACTCAAAAAAAAAAAAAAAGGAAGAAAGAAAAAAATGAAAAAAGTGAAGAGGGGAAGCGCCCTTGTTTCGCTTTGTGATCACTCTGCCTTGCAGCCCCAGGCTAATTTCAGACGCTTAAATACCGCCATAGCCTCTGGGCCACGCGGAGAGGGAGCGGACCAGGCCATGGGCTGGCGGGAGCGCTTTCAGGATTGCCCGTGGCTACACAAAATACAAACTACTTTGAATCAAAACATTTTTGGGGAATTAATATGATCTGAACTCTGCACGTTTTAAGAGAGCTTGAGTTTGTCAGATCACTTAGAGGTGACTGGCACGCCGAGGAGGAGGCAGTTACGCTGTGGTAAAAACATTGTCAGATCTGATTTAATTTTTAAAAAATGCTTCTGTGCAATGGAGTTTAGCATCAATCGCCCAGCCTGCCAATAACCGGGTGGATGGAGCTGCCCGCTCTTCCCTTCTACAGCCCCCCCCAGCTGGCTGCTCACAGGCTGCTTGGGCAGGGGGATGAGCTGCTTCTGCTTCTTCAGTTTTGTGAGGGCCCTGAGCTTTGGAACTTGAGTTAGGAAGAGCCAAAGCCTCTTTCAGCAGCTCCCAGAAGGCGTTAAGATTGGAGTGGGGTGGGGAGCCTTTTTTCTCTTCTTTTGTCAGAGCCCTCAGAATCTCTCTTTATGAGAATCTCCTAACTCATCTCTATAGCTCATCCATTTTGAAAATAGAGCCAGCAACACACCTGGAGCCTCGCCTGCCTCCTTAGTTCTCATGTACAGATGATGCAGATTCAAAATTCATTCTCCTTTATATGAAGTCTAAAACTCATACACCGAAGGGTCTACAGGCATGGTTTCTCGGAATTTTTTTTTTTTTTTTTTTTTTTTGCAGGGAAGAGGAGCTCTTTTTCCATAGCTTACTGTCTTCTTTTTCTTTATTGCTTTGAAAATCTCCAAAAGCCAAAGCTTTGGGAAATGGGGATTAATTCTCTCTCTCTCTCCTCTCTCTCTCTCTCTCTCTCTCACACACACACACACACACCATTACACACCCATCGCCACATTAAACCAGTAGGTTCCCCGCTCAGACCTCCCTTTCTTTTGTTCTGCCTGGAGTCTTTACCGGGAGAAGCGCTTTCAAACCTGTTAATTCACTGATACCTGTAAGGGTATATCCTTCCCTGAAACAGCGCAGTTAGCGGCTGATGCCTCTTCTGAGGCCTATTTGATTGCAATTAAACCACTATCCCTTTGCCGTTTGATTACAATTAATATCTGCTGCGTGAGGAGAGGAGCAAGGAGGGAATTACACGAGGGGTTTGGGATTGAGAAGGGCGAGGGGCTAGAGAGGAAGCAGCTGAGAATGATCCTATCCCACCCAGCTTACACTCGCACCTCACAGAAATGCACCCGCAGAACAAACAGAGACAGGAAACTCCAATAATCGCTTACACATTTTTAATGTGTCAGAAAAAACGAGCGATCACTGGAGATGAAGAAGGGGAGAAAAAAAATCCCTGCCGTTTGTATTTCTTTCATTTGAATTGTAAACATCTGTTTGGCTGTAAGGCGAACAGAACATTTATTTTGCTCTCAAGATTTGGTCTAATTATGTCAACACCGAAGCGGCGGGGAGTGGGGCGGCGCGGCTTTGGAGAGGCTGCGCGCAAGGGCCCCGCGCCCAGAAGCCAGCCAGGAAGTATTGATCGCACCTGGAGTGCGCGCCAGGCCTCTAGCCATCGGCAGCTCTGTTCTTAGAGAGGAAGGCACCCAGAGGGGGCACGTGGCTTAGAGGCAGCTTGGGGGGCGCCAGGAGAGCCACAGTTCCTTGGAGACGGCCGCGGCTGTTTCCTCTGCCCTAATTGCCTTGGATGAGAAGAGGAAAAGCGTATTCAGGCATCGGCGCTTGATTTTCTAGCTCATAGCCGGGCAAAAGGTGGGTGGGGGTCTTGTTGCGCTGCAGAGCTCACACTCCTGAGACGTGGTGGTTGTTCGACACAGTGGCGGCGTTGGGTAGGCTTTACTCAGGTTGCTGAGCACGTGTGCATACATTTCCCGTTGCACCTCCTCACGAGCTGGGGAAATAAGTTGAGCAGGTGTGAGCCTCCCTATTTTTCTGATGGACAGACGAAGGCCCAGAACTCATCTAAAGTTGCGTGGGTCACTAGTTGGCCAACCTCTTACTTGCAACCCAGTACTTTTTCCACTCCCCTCCGCGGTGCCTGCAGACACGGGGCCAGAGGTCTCCAGGCACACCAGGTATGGCGCAGCCCAACTCCGTTTTATTCCTGGCCTCATGGGATCTAACAAGGTCTGGCAGTTGATGAATCTGTGTCTGTGTGTCTCATGCCTGGTTTTGTCCCCTGCACAGTAATTCTTTGGCTGGCTTCCCTGTAGCTATGGCAAAGTCATCCCTTTTGTGATAGTCATATTCTAGAAAGTGACCTTCAATAGATAGTCCCTGATTTCTTATGCTGTTTCTATAGCTACAGATCTGAGTTTGAGCATCACTGGAAATAGGAAGCCCCATCTCCAAGTTTTAATTTTAAAAATAGTCCCCTCCATGGAAGCATTGCTTCTGTGCACTATGAATGGAAAAGAGATGTACTCTAGAGAAGTTCTGCATGAATACCCTGGTTGTGGCACCAGAGACACCTCTAACTGGAGTGCTGGATCTAGAATGAATGTTACGTCATTTCAATAAGAGCTGACATGCAACACGGGCACCATGAGGAACTTCAACTGGTAATACTGGGGATGAATACTGTAAATGGCTTGGCATGGATAACTCCCATGACTTTCCTCTGAAATCTCGTCATTGCTACCTGTAGTCTGGATCTCTATAATGAAACCCCACCTCCTTGGTCCTTCATTCTAAATGCAAAAATCTGGTTATGTTGACCTATTACTCTTTTCTTCCTCCCCCCACCCCAATAAAAACCACTGGGAAGAAAGATCTCAGGTTCCCCATGTTGCTGTAAACTACAAGTTGCCAAATCTTTAGCCAGAACGAGAGAGTTCCCCAAGGCCACAGCAATGCCAACTATCAAAGCAATAGAAATTCCCTTTAAAGATGCTGTGACATAAAAAATAAAAGACTCTAGAGTTGATGGCTAATCTTGAATACAAAATAAATCCTCCAGGCAGTTTGTGTGTGCATAAAGAATACTCTTAATATGCAGCCTGTGTAACTTACCTAATAAGTGCTTATTTGAGCATAAGCCAGAAGCCCAACCTGGATGCAGGAGAGAAAGATCCAGAGACCAGGAAGATAACACTTGGTTACGTAGCAGATCCAGTAACTTCCCTGGGAGCAGCTGGCTTTCAGCGCATGGGGTTCACTTTGCCAATAGGGGCTGATTTTCCAAGCGGAGAAAGCCTGATTTAACTCTTTTTTATTTTTTACAAAAATCTTTTATAGTCTTCTGCATCTCCCTAAATTAGGTTTCTAACCCAGTATAGACTAGTAAAGATAGAAAAGGTCTAAAATTGTGTCTTTCTTTTCCCTTGGCTGGCTAGGAAAGTAACACATGCACAAACACTCTTCTCTCACAATTTACTTGAGACCCATTGGGTGAGATTCCTTGTATCCTCAGTTGTGTATTGACTACATGAGAAGAGGAGGTTATGTAAGAATGTAAATTTGCTTATGATTCCATGACCATGGGTGGAGGCCTATTTTTGGGAGAGGGCTCTGTGAATTTTGAATATAGACATTATGATTTCTTAATATTTTTGCTTCAGATGACCACACAGTGGTGTGATGCTGAAAGCCAGCTTCATTGATATCCTGTTCATCTCAACTTTTGAGAAGTTATAAAATGCATTTTGCATCTATAGGTGTAAAAGGAGAGAGCATCAATAAAAGGATGATGGTAGTTTTGGGACCCCAAATCTGGGAAAACTAATGATGATGATTAGCTTTAAAATTCTCTATGACAGGGGCAGCTGGCTGGCTCAGTCAGTGGAACAAGCAACTATTTATCTCAGGGTTGTGAGTTTGAGCCCTGCATTGTGTGTAGAGATTACTTAAAAATGAAATCTTTAAAAAATAAATAAAATAAAATAAAATTCTCTATGACAATGCAAGGTGGGGAAGCACAGGTGAGTTGTGTTTCGAGCTTCTGAGGCAGGCATTTGCATGGTTTTCCACTATGTTGACCACAAGTTTAATGCCAGGAAAATGATGTTATATGTACATGTGTATGTATGTATGTGTGCATTTTGAGAGCATGCATGTGGGGAAGGGTGGGGGGTGGGGAGAGAGAGAATCCCAAGCAGGCTCCGAGCTATCAGAGTGGATGGAGCCCAATGTGGGACTCAGTGTCACAACCATGAGATCCTGACCTGAGCCGAAATCAAGAGTTGGGTGCTTAACTGACTGAACCATACAGGTGCCCTCAGGGAAAGGATTTCAGTTTGACAGTTGAGACTGTGACTTCTCAGATTTCAAACTGAGAGCCAGTTTCCATGCACTGGCACTGGGAATTTAGCCAAGCATACAGGACTCATTTCCCAGTCTTGAGAGGTCTGGCTACTTTAAAACTTTCAATATCCTGTCTTCTGTTTGGGGGGAGGGGGTGGCTATTCAGAGTGATCACCAGCCTCAGAATGCTTAAGGAGAAAGACATTTGTCCTAGCAGTTTCATGGGAAGCTTGGATGACTATAAGACAGCATAGAAGAACTCCAGGTAGCACACGGGTAGAAACACTTTAAGAGTAGGGTAAAGTTAACCTGTTCTTTCCACCCAGGTCCAGGACCTCTTTGGCTTTTTAAACTTCCTCCCAGGTTCCTTAGCCACTGTGCACAGAGAACACACCCAAATCTGAATACCAGAGACTCTAGCAACACAGCATTCAACCCGAGCAGCTTAGTAAAGGAGGGGAGGAGCTATGTAGGAGGCAAATGGTGAGTCCTAGATGAGGGCTTCTCAAACTTTAATGTGCATGTGAACCACCTGGGGATCTTGTTAAAATGCAGGTTCTGACTCAGAAGGTCTGAAGTTCAGCCTGAGATTCTGCATTTCTAGCAAGCTCGCAGGAGATACCAATGCTTCCAGTTGAGGACCACCCTTGAAGTAAAAAAGATTTTGAACAACACTCTCCTGCTTGTTTTTCTTCTTTCACCTACTTTTTTCTCTTTTCTCTCCTAGAACTTGACCTTTTTGGGAGATGAGTCTTAAGATCTCCCATAGCTGAAGAAATCAAATGTATGCTCAGGATAGCAAACCTCGAATTTGAACTTGCCAGTGAACCTCAAAAGCTCGACCCTCAGATTGCTCAAAGCATAAGGAGGCAGCCTTGGACCCCAAGGCTATGTAGCCACCATGTTAGCAGTATGGATATGAGCTCAGTATTTTTGCAATAAGGGAGGATTGGGCAATGGGAAACTCTCCTCAGCGATTATCAGCTTGGGTCCTCAAGTCTACTTCAGGTGCCTGAGATTGGGGAATGTACTCTGTTGTCTTGGAGGAGAGCAAAGCTCAAGGGGCTTTCTGGAGCTTTGGAGACCAGAGGCTTCTGCCCCAGGAGTCCCAGATTGGCAAGATTGCTTTGGCAATTTTGCCATTAGCAGTTATCTCTGCTTTGTTCTCTAATAGTAATAATGGTAACAACAACCAAAACAATATAATTGGCTGCCAACATTTAATGTGACTATTTACTATGTTCTAAGTCTTGCACTATATTTGACTGTATGTGCCAGTTCTGAGGGCTGATATATGGTAGAGAGCTGTGACCTATCATCGCCCCTACATGAGTTGCAAGTTTATGGCAATGGGAAAATTATTTTTGGTGGTACCTGGGAACTGAACGACTCCTGTGCCAATAGTTGGCAGATGGATGAAGGAAAGGAAAAGGCAGTTTTCAAATAATTTAGAAAAGAGCTTTCAAAACTTTTGTCTATATAAGTCACAGATGGATGACTAATAATATTATTATTATAATCCATCCATTGTGTATTAGTGCACATACATGCACACACATACACAGAGCCATGGAAAAATAATACATACCCTCTGTGGGGTTAACTGGTGGATTTGGGAGTTTTGAACTAATTGAAGTGTTTCTTGGTGTGTATGATGTCAACATTAGCACTGGTGAGCCAGCCAACTCTACACAGGATGCTGATTTTTGCCAAAATTTAAAAAATAATGCCCCTACAAGCATGTCCTGGATCATATTTGAAAGATGAAACCTTAATTGTTATTTGAAAGGACATCTTTAGAGCAGCTTTCTGAGATGATCCCAGTGGTATATGCATGAGGACAATTGTTGCCACAAATTCCCAAATCCCAAGTAGTGCCTTGATGTTAACTGTCTTTCAATGATCTCCTCTCACTGTCACTAATATGTAATATACTTCTGCCCTCCCCAAGGTGGCACCTGTGTGGTCAACCCCACAGACTTGTTTTGCTCTGTCCCTGGCCGTTTGTCCCTTCTCAGTTCAACTTCCAAATACAAGGTGACCATTGCTGAGGTGAAGAGGCGCCTTTCACCGCCTGAATGCCTCAATGCTTCACTGTTGGGAGGCATTTTGAGAAGGTAAGACGTTGTTTTCTGGCTGTACTGGTACATATTCCTCAACCCTCAGCCCTTAGGCCTCCTGTCTCATGTTGAATTCCCCACCTGCTCACATTGTCTCATCATTTCCCTCAGAATGAGAACCTTCAAAACCTAGTTTTTATTTATTTATTTTTGGACAGAGCAAAATCCAAGAATGGGGGCCGCTGCCTGAGAGAGAAACTGGATAGGCTTGGCCTGAATTTACCAGCAGGAAGACGGAAAGCAGCCAATGTTACCCTCCTTACTTCCTTAGTTGAAGGTATGATTTTTCAGCTCTGCAAAGTAATAATGGGAAGTTAGCAATCCTTTGGAGCTCAGGTTTGTTAGATTATGCTGTTCCATTTTTTTGTCTATAGTATGAAGCAAGGAAGTTAACAGTTACAGGTGAATTTCCCAAATAATCATGACATATGTGATTAAATTAGATAACATAAGCCTTAGGTAATTCATAAAATGTCATTTAATTTACTAATATTGGCAAACATACAGAAGACAATGCAAGATTTAAGTACTTCACTTGTATTTCCTAAATAATAGCAACTACAAAAAAACTAGCTGTGCTGTCGTCATTTTTATTATTGTTTATTTTAGAGCTCAGATAAATCTGGCCTAACTCATTATAATTCAGTGCAACACAATCTACAGGATAAATAGTAATTCTTTATAGAGGGTTCACAGGAGTTTAGGCATGATGCCAAGCCTGAGAGCATCTTGTATTAATCCTAGTAGACATCTCTTAAAGTACAGTGAAGTTCCTTGGATTTACAGATGGATAAAATGAGTTACAGAAGGGGTAAGGCTAACCAGTGGTATAGAAATAGAAGTAAAAATATATTCCCCAAAGTTATTGTTTTCCAATTTACCTTTTCCGTTTTCTTTCTTCTGTAAGGACAAAATTACATATTCTTATTCAAACTTCTTTTAAGAAGAGGTATTACTGGAAACTCATTTTTAACTTTGTAGGAAAGCTTTGAATGTCAAAGGAGAGTTCTTCCATAAACCAGAATGCTATTGTCTTAAATATGAACAAAGAAGCCCTGTTACCAAGACTCACCTGAATATATCTGTGACACTTTTCTTGCATAGGTTATTCTCTTGTTTATAAGGAAATGTAGGCAGTGAAAAGTAAGGGAAACACAAAAACAAACATCTTGCCTCTTTTCAGATTATCAATTCATACCATTTATTGTATAATTTTGTGAAGCAGTATGTTCTAGACATTTGTCTTAGCAAAATTGCTTCTGTGTTTTTGCTATTAATAGTTACCTTTGCTTTGTTCCCTAATTGTGATAATGGTAACAACAACAAAAATATTATTGGTCACCAACATTTAGTGTTACTGTTACTATGTTCTGTGTCTTGTGATCTGTTTGCTTGTGTGCTGATACTGAAAACTGACATATGGTAGAGGAGGTTGACCTGTCATCCACACATATGGGCTGGTGGTACTGGGGAAAGGACAAAGTAGGAAAAAATGACTAATGGGTTGATTCTAAAGGGAGACAGATTCCTGTTCAATTTAAGGAAGAAGATAATTATAATTGTAGCTACTTAATAATAGAACAAAACACTTGTTCAGAATATAATGAAGTGAATTCAAGAATCATATGGATGGGGACACCTGGGTGGCTCAGTCAGTTGGGCATCTGACTTTGGCTCAGGTCATGATCTCACAGTTCGTGGGTTTGAGCCCCACGTTGGGGTCTGTGCTGACAGCTCAGAACCTGGAACCTGCTTCAGATTCTGTGTCTCCCTCTCTCTCTGCCCTTCCGCAGCTCACACTCTCTCTCTCAAAAATAAATAAACATTAAAAAAAAATTTTTTTTAAAGAATCATATGGGTGGTAGGACTTGACTATTTCTTAAACTCAAATCTGCAGGAGAGTCAACTCGGGAGGTTTATTTAAAAATCACTGGGGGGTGCCTGGGTGGCTTAGTCGGTTAAGCGTCCGACTTTCGCTTAGGTCATGATCTCACGGTTCGTGGGTTCGAGCCCCGCGTCGGGCTCTGTGCTGACTGCCAGCTCGGAGCCTGGAGCCTGTTTCAGTCTGTGACTCCCTCTCTCTATGACCCTCCCCTGCTCGCGCTGTCTCTCTCTCTCCTAGAAATAAATAAAAAAAAAAACATTAAAAAAAATTAAAAAAAATCACTGGCCCCCTTCCCTAAGCCAACTGAAACTCAGTCTCTGGGGATATGATCCAGGCCCCTATATATTTTTTAGACATCCCCAGTGATTCTGATGTATAATGAGGTTTAAGGATCATTGGTCTAAATGTTTCTTGAGACTCTTTCCACTTCCTTTGATGGACTATGAATGCTCATGAAATTTGTAACTGATGTGAGAATTAAAGGCCCTAAGAAAGGCCTTTTCCCATGGTGTTTATGAATATACTGGCCAATATGAACTGAAGAGCCATACATAAAAGAGTATATTCACAACTTTCCTTATTTTTATGGTGGCCAACCACTGAAGTATCCCATGTGGGAATCATCAACTGTACTAACAGAAGGGGTGTGGGTTAAATATGTGAACTCCTAGGATAAACTTTGCGGTTTTGCCATCTACTCTTTCAACATACCTGTCCTACCATAGAAGTATCTAACTGTGTTCTGTACATTTGGCTTATGTTCGTGGAGGATTCACATCAGCCTTGGCTGATGAAACCTAAGATTTCATACTCTCCAGGTACTTTAATTGGATACTTTTGAAATCCCCCAAATCTTCATACTATAGAGCCATAAATTTTTTATTGTTGAGTTCCAGGCACTGTGATGGGACTGAGGGAAGGATATTTATTTGTTTGTTTGTTTATTTATTTTTACAAATAGTTTATTGTCAAGTTAGTTTCCACATAACACCCAGTGCTCATCCCCACAAGCGTCCTCCTCCATGCCCATCCCTCCCTCCCCCCCACATCCATCAGTCCTCAGTTTTTGTCAGCATTCAAGAGTCTCTCATGGTTTGCCTCTCTCCCTTTCCCCCACCATTTCCCCCTTCTTCTCCCCCTTGGTCCTCCATCAAGTTCCTCCTAATCCTCCTATACGTGCACACATATGATATTTGTCCTTCTCTGCCTGACTTATTTCGCTCAGCATAACACCCTCAAGGTCCATCCATGTTGCTACACATGGCCAGATTTCATTCTTTCTCATTGCCATGTGGTATTTACCGTATAGATAAACCACATCTTCTTGATCCATTTGTCCATTGATGGACACTGAGGCTCTTTCCATGTTTTGGCTATTGTTGAGAGTGCTGCTATGAACATCGGGGTACATGTGCTCCTATATATCAGCACTCCTGTATCCCTTGGGTAAATTCCTAGCAGTGCTATTGCTGGGTCATAGGGGAGTTCTAGTGTTAATTTTTTGAGGAACCTCCACACTGTTTTCCAGAGGGGCTGCACCAGTTTACATTCCCGCCAAGAGTGTAGGAGGGTGCCCGTTTCTCCACATCCTCACCAGCATCTAGAGTCCTCTGATTTGCTTATTTTGGCCACTCTGACTGGTGTGAGGTGGTATCTCAGAGTGGTATTGATTTGTATTGAGGGAAGGACATTTAGAGGCAAAGGGACCTTTTGCATCCCTTCAACCCTCAACATATTATAAACCACAAACACACGTGCACACTTTCTCTCTCTCTCTCTCTCTCTCTCTCTCACACACACACACACACACACACACTCACTACAAGTTTAATTACCATGTGTTATGTTCTCTGATTTTTATTCTATTTCCTATTTTAGTGTTCTTTTTAAATGCTGATTATAAACCTACTGAATTTATTTCAGGATTCACACTGAATCATGAGTCATGACCCACAGTTTTTAAAAACTACAAGTTAGGGGTGCCTGGGTGACTCAGTCGAGTTAGGGGTGCCTGGGTGACTCAGTCAGTTGTGTGTCCAACTCTTGATTTTTGGCTCAGGTCATGATCCAAGGGTGGTGGGTTCAAGCCCTGTGTCAGGCTCCACAGTGAGCATGGAGTCTATTTAAGATTCTCTCTCCCTCTCCCACTGCCCCTCCCCTGCTTGTTCATGCTTGCTCTCTTTTTATCTCTTTCTCTAAATAAACAAACAAACAAACAAACAAAAATATGTAAGTAAAATTTAAAAAGTACAAGTTGTTTTAAGATATAAAGAGAACCTAATAGTTGAAGAACAGGGACATGTTATCTAAATTAAAATAGGCTTCATTTTATTCCTGAGCTCACAAGGAGAATAGTTTCACCATTGAGGACTCTACTGTATATTTTATTCCCAAGTTTTAGTTGGTGATGGCAGTTGATGACTCTTTCCAGTCAGCAAGATGCCATTTTCTACATTAGGCTCATAGTCTTTGAAATTCTGTAGATGATGCTATAGGATACAAAATAATGGTGCCTCAATTCTAATTTGCCAAGCTCTTGGAAAAGTGACATAGTTAATGCTTCTCTTCAGTACATTTGGAGCCTTGATCATTTTTGAGCTAACATGGGTATGATTCAGTTCTTTCAGGCTTGATTTTCCAGTTTTAAGTGGTAAATTAAAACTTCACCATATTTACCAGTTGGTGTTGGTAAGACCATGTCTTTGGGTGACACTTTTCTCCTTCCATCAGACATTTTTTGCAAGAGCCAGCGACATTTCAGATTAGTCATCCAAAATGGTCCATCAGCTTTCGTGTAAATCTATGATCTTATAGGAAGGAATAATATTTTTCTTACCATTTTTTATTGATATCTCCCCTTTATCTCCCAGATTTTCTACAATAACCAATATGTATATTTGAAAACCAATACTTAGTAATATAGTTTCTCTTAAGTGGCTTGTTTTTTCAAATTTTTATTTTAATTCCAGATAGTTAACAGACAGTGCAGTATCAGTTTCAGGTATACAACATAGTGATCACTTCCATACAATACTTGGTGCTTATCATGACAAGTGTACTCCTTAATCCCCTTCACCTATTTTACTCAACTCCGAGCCCCTCATCTCTAACCATCAGTTTGTTCTCTATAGTTAAGAGTCTGTTTCTTGATTTCTCTCTCTCTCTTTTTTCCTTTCTCATTTGTTTTGTTTCCTAAATTCCACATATGAGTGAAATCATATGGCATTTGTTTTCCTCTGACTTATTTCCCTTAGCGTTATACTCTCTAGCTTCTTCCATGCCATTGCAAATGGCAAGATTTTCATTCTTTTTTTATGGTGGAACAGTATTCCGTGTGTGTGTGTGTGTGTGTGTGTGTGTATCTCACATCTTCTTTATCTACTCATTAATTG